CTTAAAACAAAACAGCTAAACAACACAGCATTTGCCAAAAAATGCAATTACCTAAAAATATGCCACGAAAATGTGTGATGCTGTTGCTGTAAATGATGATAAACACAGTAATGAGTCGTCTATAGAAAATAATAATTTCGATAGAAAAGCAGAGGACAACCAGCAACTGGAGATTATACCAACAAGCACACAACAAAAACAACACCTTGATAACTCTTTGAAAAACTCTATTTACGATTGGGATTCACCGAGCTCTTGTACAGGCACTGTCAAAAGAAGACCACATACTATAGCCAACTTTGACTGTAGTCGTTCAACGTTTAGAAAAACCGCCAAAAACAAAACCATAGACAATACCACAAACAATAATGTTCAAGCTAAATGTCAAAACAATAGAGAGCTTAGGCCACAGCAGTCAACAGCAAAAGTAGGAGCTGTAAGGCGTCAAACAATTCATAATATAATAGGCAACAGAATTCCAGCATTAGCAACGAAAACCTCCCCTTCAGCAAATATGCAAAAATCTTCACGTTCCAGCAGTAGTAGCGGCAATAAGGAGAAGCCTCAAAAATTACGTCTAAACAAAACATCAGATCGTAATGCCAATTCTACCTCAAATTCACCCACCCACAATGCATCAACAGTTAAAACACAGGCATCAGTCACCGCCCCAACAGCAGCAGCAGGAGAAGGGAGAGGAGGCACCATACTTAAGTCTTCTCATAAAAGATCTAAATATTCACAAAATGAAAGCCATAGTTCAGGTTCTACTCTATATCAAGATGAAAACTACATGGAATTTGAGTTTTTCCAAAGAGAAATACCCAATCGTCAAATGCCTCAATTTACGGAACTATTTAGAGACTTTCCCGTGAGTTATGAGACCACTACTTTAGCCTTACAATCTTCTACACTGCCCGCCAAGCCGCCTCCCTATAGAGAGCCCCCACCACCCACGCCACCGCCTTTGTCGCAATTACCTTCCCGGAATTTAAGAAATAATGAAAACTCTCAATCCTGCCCCTCCACTCCTTTTCGCGGCAAAGTAGTTTTAAGTAAAAAAGAGCGCAAGGAATTGAGTAAACTTAATAAGCTGCAGGATACCGCCTGTTCCAATTCCACCTCTAATATAAGAGGTTTTGAGGGAGCCTCCGACTCCCCGGCCGCTAGTGTACAATCGAGTCCCTATAAAGGTCGCGTAACGGAATTGAAAAATTGTATAGCACGCATTAACTCTAAGGGATTGTTTGCCTCTCTGCACCGCAATTCACATAAATCGCTCAACAATGCAACATCCAACACAGAAGAGCAAACCACCTCCTCCTCCAATGAAATCTCACCGCCACCTCCAGCGCCAGACAATAGCCCTCCCGGTTCTAATGCCTCCAATAACAATGATGCCGATTACACTGAGAAATTGAAAAACTTACCCGTTAGACAAAGAAAAGCTCATACTTCTCACATGGATAACTATTGTCTCTTCGATCCCATGGATTTTGTTAATGAAAAAGCTTTGAGAAGAAGAACCCATGATACCTTAAACATGGACTTGCCTTTGCCGCAACAACAGCAAGGTTTAAGAGATCCACTTTTTAGTTCAAGGCAAAATTTGGATTTTAGTGAAGAGGAACTAGTGCCCGAGGTAATATATGATGAGGAAAAAGAGGGGGAGGAGGAAGATCCCGAAGATGAGGAATTGGAAGTAGAATTACCACCGCAACGCAATTTTGATCATCATAATTATTTTGTCATAGATCCAGAGGATTTTGAGGAAGAGCCGTCGCTAGATATAGGCATACCCAATCCTTATACCAATGAGCAATTAGTGCAGGCGAATCTTATAGCTCATACCCAGCATACCTATGTCAATAATCCTGCGGAATTTAAGGCTTCCGAATCTTTGGATAAACTCCTAAATGCCTTTGACTCTGCCCCCTCCATGACCAATAGTCAGGAAAGTAAAGATACCAATACACACTCCACTACCACTACCACTTCGACAGCTTTAGTGGAATCATCTACTTCCACTAATTCCAATACCTCTTCCACCTCTAATACTTCTTCTCAGACTACACTACAAAGAACAAAGAAACGTTTAACATTCCTCAATCTCTCGCCCTTTCGTTCGCACAAGTCTGATAAAGATAAAATAATGTCGTCACAAGCCACGCAAGTCAAACCCGAACGTGCCATGTCGGAATTGGTCACCTCGGAGCATATGTTTCATTTGCAACGTATGCTGTTGAGTGCCGATAATGTTTTGAATGATACACGCCCGATTAATGAAAATATCGAATTGAATTATGTTTTATTTAATCCGGGACCGGTACCTAGTCGTAATGTTCAATATAAGATACGTAAACCGCGTCCTTTATCGTCGCATAGTGATGCAGATAGTGGTTTCTTAAGCCCCTGCTCACCGGATGAATTCTCGTCGATGAAATTTAATCCCGCCTTGTTGGTGCTGCAGCAGTGTGACAGTGTTCAAGGATATATTGAGGTGAGTTTCAAAACATTAATTTAAGGGGGTTTCAGGATGAGGAAAGAGAAGAATGAAAATGGAATTTTAAGACGAAATGTTTCCACTCCAAGTCCACAATGTTAAGACTTGATCAAATACTTTTAGGTGCTATTTAATGGAAGATCCTCGATCTTTGCATAGTGTTGATTGTCAAGTCCTTTTGTCTATATCTTCAGCTGAGAAGTATAATCTTTAGTTTTAAAATCTTCATGCTGATCAAAGATTATCGAGGTCAATCAATGTTGAGAACTGATCAATAATCGAAACTTCTTGAAATACGATCTGATCGAGGATCGTCAATATTTGCATAATTTTCGTTCAGTGCAATCCTTGATCTTAAAATAGATCAGAACTGTCTAATTCAAAATGAGAATCATAAATATCAGAATGAGAATCATAAACATCATTCAAAGTATGAGCTTTTTCACCAAAAAGAGCTTTTCCCCAAAAAAAGTGAATTTTTACCAAAAATAATGCTTTTACAAAAAGAGCTTTTCTACTGCTGCTTATCACAAATAAAGCTTTTTGCAAAAGCAGATAAAAAAGCTTTTATATTATAAAAAATGTTTTGTATCCACAAATAAAAGGTTTTTTTTTAAATTTTTCCTAAAAAGCTTTTCTACATTTTTTTCTTTTCTTTTAATAAAAAACTTTCATAAAAAAAACGTTTTTCAACTACTTTTTTTCCCCAAAATGAGCTTTTTCACAAAAAAAGCTTTTATTATTAAAAATCCTTTTTCAAGGAAAAAAAGATTTTATCACAAACAATAAAAAAGTTTTTTTTTTTACAAAGATATTTTTCCTAAAAAGCTTTTCTACAATTTTTTATTTTCTTTTAATAAAAAACTTTCATAAAAAAACTTGTTTCCACAACTTTTTTCACCAAAATGAGCTTATCACAAATAAAAGCTTTTTTCATTAAAAATCGTTTTCAATTAAAAAAAGCTTTTTCGTCCAAAAAAATTGTTACTAACAATAATCCACCATTAAAAGTTTTTTCCACCAATAAATACTGTTTTGCATGACAAAAGTTTTTTCTGAAAAGTTTTTTACAAAAAATCTTTTTCACAAAAAAAAAAAACATTTTTCTATCATCAAAAGCTTTTTTGAAATTAAGCTTTTTTACAAAAAGAGCTTTATTATGAAAAATAAAAGCTTTTCTCCAAACTTTTAATAAAAAAATTAGCTTTTTCACAAATAAAAGCTTTTTTTATTAAAAATCCTTTTTCACGTAAAAAAGCTTTTTCGTCAAAAATTTTTTTCACAAACAATAACCCACCAAGTTTTTTCCACCAATAAATTACTTTTTCATGAGAAAGTTTTTATATAGATTTTTCAAAAAAAAAAAAAAAAAAAAATCACCAAAAAAAAATTTTAAGAGCTTTTTTTATTAAAAATAAAAGCTTCTTATAAAAAAAACTATTTCTCCAAAAAAAATCTTTTACAAACAATAAAATATAAAACATTTTTGCTCTAAAAAAACTTTTAACCGCTAATAAACTTTTTTCATACAAAAGCTTTTTTCGAAAAAGCTTTTTCATAAAAAATATGTAAAAAAACGTTTATTGTGTGAAAAAGGCTTTTTTTAGGGGAAAATGTTTTATTTGTATTTTATATTTAAAAAAAGGCTTTTTTTGAAGAAAAAATATTTTTAATAAAAAGCTATTTTTGTAGAAATATGTTTTCGGTTAAAAAAAGCTTTTTCCTTGCAATAAAAGATTTTTCATAAAACAAATTTTTCCATCAAAACAGCTTTTTGCAGAAAAAAGTTTCTCCACCAAAAAAGCTTTTTCACTAAATATTCAATAATTTTCCTTTTTCGCTTAAAAAAACATTTCTCCCTTTATAATTTTTTAAGCAAACTTATCACAAATTCCCAATACAACTCCCTAAGCTTCTTACCAGCTGACACGGGTCACTTACTAGCCTTTGAAGTTTCCATTTAAAAATTGTTAATATTTTCTAATAGTTTTTATCTCTACTCCCTGATGACTATAACTAAAGTAAACTTATCAATAATATCTGCATATTTTTTTTATGACCCAACATTATAATTCTGTATAATGGCTTAATTTAAGATTCTAAACAAAACTTCAAGATACAAAGGAACAAATGATAAGGAGAATTAAAAAAAAAGAAGAAGGGTTAACACCACACAAACACACCACACAAGCCACACGAGAAACGTCCTTAAACAGGACCTCATTGGGATTATCTTGAAAACATCTTGTTACCAACATAAGCAGCTTAAGTAACACTCTCATAAGTGCCCACTTTTTCTATACTTTAAAGGAGCATAAGGAACTTTACTGTTGCAACACCAAATGGATAAAGGGAGTGTTTTTTTTAATTTTTATCAATAACTTATTATAACCCATGAAAATTGCAGTTTAGTAGCATTTAGGATAAAGATAAAAAAATATTATTTTTCAAATGTTTATTTTCAATAAAGGACAAAAAAAAAACAACACAATACCAAACACAACTTCTAACAGGACTCTAATGATTAAGGGCTGTAGGGCGAAAAAACGCACCATGTGTTTTTTATTTTGCATGTTTAGCAAACGGTAGAGAAAAGGGGTGGTGTTTAGCTGATGATTGCATAAATTTCCAAAGAGACGGTAGCATCGTGTTTTGTGAGAAGAGTCCTCTGACACTGTAACTTGCATTAACACCCCTTGTAGTTGTTGTTTTCGTGTGAATGTATTCCTGCTACAAGTTAACACAAGAAAAATAAACACTTGATATCCTTGTTTTGTTTTTGTTGTCATCAATTTTGTGACTGTGTAAAATGGTAAATGTGCATTTATTTTTCTTCTTTTGTTTTTTTGTTTTGTGATTCTAGCGAAATGTGTAACTTTATCTCCAGGGAGCAATCAATTCTTATTTTCGTTGTGTAACTTGAAACAAACCTTTTTAACACTTGTTCTCATTCTAAGTATGTACAACGTATACATATGTATATGTAAAGGAGCGCGAAATGTGCCATGATGTAAGCAGGATACAACTACCCAAAAATAAACATTCGCACTTTTCATTTACTAACACTATTTGCGAGACAAGTCAAACAAAGTGTAATTAAACACTCAAAATTCAAATGTTAGTAATTTTGATCCAAGCTACAGCCAAACTACAACAGAACTAAAACAGAACTAAAACAGAACTAGAACAGAACTAGAACAGAACTAGAACAGAACTAGAACAGAACTAGAACAGAACTAGAACAGAACTAGAACAGAACTAGAACAGAACTAGAACAGAACTAGAACTAGAACAGAACTAGAACAGAACTAGAACAGAACTAGAACAGAACTAGAACAGAACTAGAACAGAACTAGAACAGAACTAGAACAGAACAGAACTAGAACAGAACTAGAACAGAACTAGAACAGAACTAGAACAAACTAGAACAGAACTAGAACAGAACTAGAACAGAACTAGAACTGAACTAGAACATGAACTAGAACAGAACTAGAACAGAACTAGAACAGAACTAGAACAGAACTAGAACAGAACTAGAACAGAACTAGAACAGAACTAGAACAGAACTAGAACAGAACTAGAACAGAACTAGAACAGAACTAGAACAGAACTAGAACAGAACTAGAACAGAACTAGAACAGAACTAGAACAGAACTAGAACAGAACTAGAACAGAACTAGAACAGAACTAGAACAGAACTAGAACAGAACTAGAACAGAACTAGAACAGAACTAGAACAGAACTAGAACAGAACTAGAACAGAACTAGAACAGAACTAGAACAGAACTAGAACAGAACTAGAACAGAACTAGAACAGAACTAGAACAGAACTAGAACAGAACAGAACAAAAATAGAACAGAACTAGAACAGAACTAGAACAGAACTAGAACAGAACTAGAACAGAACTAGAACAAAACTAGAACAAAACTAGAACAGAACTAGAACAGAACTAGAACAGAACTAGAACAGAACTAGAACAGAACTAGAACAGAACTAGAACAGAACTAGAACAGAACTAGAACAGAACTAGAACAGAACTAGAACAGAACTAGAACAGAACTGGAACAGAACTAGAACAGAACTAGAACAGAACTAGAACAGAACTAGAACAGAACTAGAACAGGAACTGAGAAATATGAAGATTTTTCTTCGAGTGTATTCAAATTTTCCTCAACAACTTGCTTCATTAGTTTGTCAACATGTTTTCGTATTTTCCTTTTACTACATCTCTTGATGTTGATGAGCTGTTTTACTATTTCGACAGAGTTTTCCAAAAAGCAACAACAACAACAAAATAAAAAAGATAAATTTGTTTTTTACTCCCTAAGACTTGTTATTTATTGTCAACATTTGTACTACCATCTAACAACTAACAAAATAACACGTTTGTCTTAACACAGTTCAGCCATTATAGTGGCACATGTGAAAACCTTAAGTCCCGAGAGTCTTTTTTCCAAAATAACAAACAAAAAAGGAAGTCATAGAAACTCAACTCAATAACGACTAATTTTTTAAACATTTTCCAAAAAACATTTTTTTAGCACAGATGTGAACTTACTTACACCCACTTGAAATATAATTTTTCTTATTTTTTAAAAAATTTTGTAAACGTTTCAAGTTACTTATGGAAAGGCCAAAGCAAAAAAAAAGAAAAATTGAATTAAAATTTATTTTTATAGAAATTCGCAATTGCCATTTAGAGCAAAACACACTTTTTGTCAAACATCCACTTATAATGATACTTTCTTTGACAATAACAAACATTTTCAAAGAATAAAGTGAAAAAAAGCTTTTAAATGAAAATTTTGCCTTTTGTTAGCAATTGCTGTTGCTTTTTGTGTTTTATTGTTAAAAGAAAATTGCTGATGACATGTGACTGAAGCCACTACTCAATACTACTTTATTTCTCAGCTTTCCCCGGTTGTTTGTGCATTAGCGACGCATAATGTCCCTGTGTGAACAAGTGGTAGTTAGTGTAGGTTTCTCTAAAAGTAGT